CGTTTATTTTTTTCTCCTTCGTTATTTTCTTTTCTTTTTCTTTTTTCACTTCATTTTTCTTTATTTTCTGTTACTACTTCAGTTTCCCTTTCTTTTTCTTCTTTTCTTTTCGTTCTTCTATTTCCTCTTCTTTTTCTTTTTTCCTTTATTTTCGTTTACGCCTTCAATGTCTTTCGGGCACCTCGAGGTGATATAATGGTTAGCAAGCCTGTCTAGCTAGAAATATTACGACTGAGTAGTGAGTTCGATCCTAACTGGGTGCCTCATACTTTCGGCCTTGTGCCACATCTGAGCTACGCTTGGAAAATCACTACGCCTTCAATGTCCTTTTTTTTCCTTTTTCGTTATTTGCTTTTACTCCTATTTTCTTTTCTTTTTCTTCTTTTTCTTATTTTCTATCACTCCTTCTATTTCCTTTTCCTCCTTTTTTCTTTTACTCCATCAATTTCCTTTTACTCCATCAATTTCCTTTTACTCCATCAATTTCCTTTTATTTCATCTTTTTCCTTAATTTACATTTACTCTTTTGAATTCTTTTTTCCTTCTCTGCATACCATTAAAAAAATCTTTTAGGCTGTTTTTTCTATGGTCGTATGGTCAAGTGGTTACAAGATGAGCGTTCCGACCATGAGACGTTGGTCAAAATCTCACAAATGTTGATTAGTCAAGGAGGTGACTTAGTGATAACATTTTCTTAGAGAGACGATCCCAGTGTGCCGCGCTTTTGGAAGTGCTTGGAAACTATGCCACGGATTAACACAGGCATTCTGCGTGACAATGACAATCGTTGTGCTCGCACGAAGTAGCAAGGCACTGTGACTGAGGTTTTGAGTGTTATTCTGCTCTTGATCATACCAAATTAAGCGCACCCAACCAAAAAAAAAAAAAAAAAAAACTACAGTCCACTCGGGATCGTTGCAATATAAACAACAGGCTTTCTCTGTGCCTGAGCAGATGTCTGGAAAATGGACTAGCTCGCCAACCTAGCTATTTTATGAAAGATACTCCTAACTTCCGAATGCAATATTGCATAAAAGATACTTTCGAAAATATTGTTTTACCAACGATACTCTTCACTTCCGAAAACACTATTTTATGAATGATACTCCTAACTTCCGAAAATATTGTTTTATCAACGTTTTCACTTCCGAAAACACTATTTTATGAATGATACGTTTTATCAACGATACTCTTCACTTCCCAAAACACTATTTTATGAATGATACTCCTAACTTCCGAAAATATTGTTTTATCAACGATACTCTTGACTTCCGAAAACACTATTTTATGAATGATACTCTAACTTCCGAAAATATTGTTTTATCAACGATACTCTTCACTTCCGAAAAACACTATTTTATGAATGATACTCCTAACTTCCGAAAATATTGTTTTATCAACGATACTCTTCACTTCCGAAAACACTATTTTATGAATGATACTCCTAACTTCCGAAAATATTGTTTTATCAACGATACTCTTCACTTCCGAAAACACTATTTTATGAATGATACTCCTAACTTCCGAAAATATTGTTTTATCAACGATACTCTTGACTTCCGAAAACACTATTTTATGAATGAATAACTTCCGAAAATATTGTTTTATCAACGATACTCTTCACTCCCGAAAACACTATTTTATGAATGATACTCCTAACTTCCGAAAATTGTTTTTATCAACGATTCTTCACTTCCGAAAACACTATTTTATGAATGATACTCTAACTTCCGAAAATATTGTTTTATCAACGATTCTTCACTTCCGAAAACAATTTTACAATGATTTTAACTTCCGAAAATGTTTTATCAACGATACTAACTATTTTATGAATGATACGAAAAAATATTGTTTTATCAACGATACTCTTCACTTCCGAAAACACTATTTTATGAATGATACTCCTAACTTCCGAAAATATTGTTTTATCAACGATCAAAACACTATTTTATGAATGATACTCTAACTTCCGAAAATATTGTTTTAAAACTCTTCACTTCCGAAAACACTATTTTATGAATGATACTCCTTCCGAAAATATTGTTTTATCAACGATACTCTATTTTTTTATGAATGATACTACCTAACTTCCGAAAATATTGTTTTTATCAACGAGTACTCTTCACTTCCGAAAACACTATTTTATGAATGATACTCCTAACTTCCGGTGTATTTGTTTTTATCAACGATACTCTTCACTTCCGAAAACACTATTTTATGAATGATACTCTAACTTCCGAAAATATTGTTTTATCAACGATAATCTTCACTTCCGAAAACACTATTTTATGAATGATACTCCTAACTTCCGAAAATATTGTTTTATCAACGTTCATATTTTATGAATGATACTCCTAACTTCCGAAAATATTGTTTTATCAACGATACTTCACTTCCGAAAACACTATTTTATGAATGATACTCCTAACTTCCGAAAATATTGTTTTATCAACGATATTGCACTATTTTATGAATGATACTCCCACCGAAAATTTGTTTTATCAAATACTCTTCATTGTTTTTTATGAATGATACAACGATCAACGATACTTTCACTTCCGAAAACACTATTTTATGAATGATACTCTAACTTCCGAAAATATTGTTTTATCAACGATACTCTTCACTTCCGAAAACACTATTTTAAACAATGATATTGTTTTATCAACGATGCTTTTTGAATAATATCTGACTTCCGAAAATATTGTTTTAAAATAATTCATTGTTTTCAAAAGATACTGCTAACTTCCGAATTGAACCCCCACTTTCGAAAATATTGTTTTATCAACGAGTAATCTTCACTTCCGAAAACACTAATATTTCAAAGATACTCTTAACTTCGGAAAACAATATTGTATTACAATGCTGTTTGAATAAATAGAAAAAGTAAAATATTTCATTGTTAAGTTGTGAACCAATAAATAATAACATAAACAGTATATCGAATTGTTGGATTAATTGTTGGATGCGGTTAAAAAAGAAAAGAAAAGGGTAAAATTATTATGAACAGGTAAAAACAGATATATTTGAATTTTTATGGGATGATTTCTTAAGAAAATAAGCTAAATAAATTCATACAGATATATTTTCTTTATTGTTGTGATTGAAAATGGTAGAACAATTGAACCTCTTTTGACTCTTCTTTCTATTTTTTCCAGGGAGTTCATCTTGACTGAAAGCAAATAAAAATAAATCCAGAATCAGACAATGCCTTTGGCAATACTTTTGTATGTTTACTATATTCTATTCATGGCACCAGGTCCGGCGCTAGGATCTAGCCCACACCCAAAACTTTGATACAAGGCCCCCATCTTTATTACATGTCGATTTCAAAAATTTCCCAACCAGGGAGCCACAAGCTCATGAAGGAAAATTATAGTGGAGAAAGCAGCTCTTTTTTAAAAAAATTACCAAAAATCAGAGAATTATCCAATTTAAATTAAAATTTCAGTACATATTCATTAATTATTTACTTCTATAACGGATAGTTTTTTTATTTCTATAAAATCTGAGATAATAATCTATAAAATAATCTATAAAATCTGAGATAATATTATTCTTTTTGTAATAACCACCAATATTTACATGACTAAATCTTACTCCAAAAATGTTTAAGTCGCAAATTTTTTTTACATTTCCATAAAGATTAATTGCCGACGCATCTTCGCTGGAAAAAAAAAAGTTTTACAAAGATTCCAACACAACACAAACGGAATTGTCTTAAAAAATTATTTCAAAGACAGTATTTCAGTTTTTGGAAAAAAAATTCCATATGTTGAAATCTTTAAACATTTTTGTTTTTAAGCGATTTTCTTGGTTTTATATTTCTGGAAATGTACAAAAATAGGGACTAGAAATTTTATTTTAATTACTAGCCGTGCACTTCTGGTTAGTATTACTGTTAGTAAAAAAAATCAGAGATCCTACTTAGTGGATGATCTCGGAATAAAAAAAAGATTTGACGGCGATATATGATTTGACAGATATATTGGAATTTTTATGAGATGATTTCTTAAGAAAATAAGCTAAATAAATTCATACAGATATTTTTTTCTTTATTGTTTGTCATTGAAAATGGTAGAACAATTGAACCTCTTTTGACCCTTTTTTTCTATTTCATCTGGTCCACTCTTAATTGACTTAAAAGAACAGTTCATGAAGAAAATTACAATTAAAAAAAATAAGCGTTATGGAAATTAGCACTTCAGTCTTCCCCTCCCCAGTAGCATAGGGCCTCCCTGCGGTTGAGGGCAGTAAACACCGGCCTAGTCGATTGATATAATTTATGGTTGACAATATAACTTAGGTAGGAAAATGTAAAAAAATTACAAAAAGCAAAAAAAAAAAAAAAAAAAAACTCTGCTTAAACTACCCCTTTTGGTGTTCCAACCTCGTCGGTGTTCCTGCGGGGTACACACCGCACACGATGTATGCTATTAGTTGATGACTGACAATGTAACGTCATTTTTAAAAATAATTTTTAAAAATGTCGGATGACCATGAAACAGTGCTGAAAATAAAATGGCAGAGGCCCTAACGGAAAAAAAAACAAACAAAAAAAAAAAACGATCGGGAGATTCGGGAGTGAGACCCGCCGGTCCTGCATGGCACTTTAGGGCTGAAACTGTTACAGTGAGCACAAAATGATTCTGTGAAATCTCCCTTTCATACGATGATCGGGTATTGAGTTTGTCAACTTCCTCTAGATCGTGATATTTATTTCCCGCCTTTAAAGTTATAGGAACATTTGCACGTGGTCGTCTCTGGAACTCGATGGAATAACAAACAATCTCTTCCAACAATACCAAATAAAGGGTAAGTAAAAACAATAGCGCACAGTTAATAATTGCCGCCACTTGTAACCATGTTTCGCGGTTTCACCGGCTTACGGCCACATCACGTCGAAACATCGGTTCACGTACAATCACCGAAGTTAAGCCAACGTCAAGCTTGGTCAGTAGCTAGATGGGTGACCGCTTAGGAATACTCGGTGCTGTAAGCTTGGATGTGTTTATTGTTTAATTGACTCGGAATTGTTATTCAGAGACTCGACTTCCAATTCAATTTGGGTTAGTTATATTCATTTACGGGCAAATACTTTTAGGAAAGGTATGATTCCATCTCTTCTCCCCCAGTTATGGGTTAATTAGTAAGACCTGTATCACTAAACTATTATTATCTCCCAAAATAAAGTAAAATTGTGTACAAAATTATTTAAATTTCGGCATTATATAACCCATCAGTCGGTTATGTGCCATGCGGCATACACGCTTAGGCGATCATGTATCTTTCGATACATCTGACGAAGCAGTTTTTCCCGCAGTATGTCGCCATTTCTTTCTGCGGTAGACCAATTGCCATCCAACTGTATAGAACCCAGCCTATTCTTCTATTTACTTATAGCTGGGTGGGGGGAGAAGAGGATCCTTACCTTTCCCAAATGTATTTGCACGTAAGCGAATGTAAACGATTCGACTGAAATTCAGACTCAATCCGAGCCGCTCCACCGTTGTAATTCCCGCTTCAATCTGGTGTCGCTTCGATGACTTTCTCGCCTCTTCATCATCATCATCATCATCCTTCGACCTCCCTGTGGTTGGCTGGAACTCCATTAACAATCTCTTTCCACACTGCTCGGTCCTGCGTCCCAGATCCCCTATGCCTAACCCTGAGTCCTGAGGCATGGTGTCTGGGAAAGTCAACTTTCGCGAGAAGACACCTCCAGATGGAGTAAGGATAAGACGACCTCCCCGTCCGATTGGTGGCAGTGGCCTGCAAACTGCAATCGCTTTTGTTTGAACTTAAGGGAGAGTTTGGTCTCAGTTTTCCGTAAATTGTGTTAAGCGTTGCATGGGATCTCTAACTGATGTCCTGGATTTTTCTAAGTAGTTATGTATGTATTCCATCCAGACCTCTTTCAAGACGAACAGATAATGTCCAAGTCTCTGATCCATACAGTTGGACTGGTTCAATCAGTGTTCGAAAGGTTTGGACTTTTAAAGAAGATGGAAGGTTCGAGCGCCAAATACTGTGAAGTTTATTACACACATCCCATGCAAGAGCTTTGCGGATGATGAAGTCTTTTTGGGAATCTATTATGCTTCTTACAAATAGCCTTCAAAATAAAAACAAAGAGAATTATCTACGAAATAATCTGCAAGACAAGTATTAACAACATGACTTCCCAGAATCTCAGTGATACCCTCTGTATATTTATTTTAATTGTTTCCTTTAGCTACTTCCGTAATTTAATGTTAAATTCTACAATATATGTCCTTGTCTTCTTGGACAGAGGGCTCACGGTTATATCACTTTGAACGATCCCCGAAGTTAAGAAACGTCGACGTTGACCATTATTTAGCTGAATGAAGCACTTGGGAGTACCGGGTGCTATAAACTTGGATATGCGGGTGGTGTACTTTATAACGCTCGGAATTTTTAATCGGAGAAGCTAGTTCCAATTCCATATATATTCATGTAATCGCAAATACCTTTGGGAAAGGCATGAATGCAGCTCTTCTCCCCAGCCATGTAGGACTTGTATCAGTGAATCATTATTATCTCAGAAAAATCATACAATCTAAGAATATTTCTGGCTTTAAATAACCTGCAAAAGGTTAATGAGCCGTAAAAAACAAATCAAAATCTTGGATAGAGATTATCCTTAATCTTACGCATGATAGAGTGCACGTATTCGGATAAATGAATCGGAAGTGTACTAGTTTTTCACAGTAATCAATTTGACCGTTTTGATTTTAAAAATGATACTTTAATTAAAAGAATGAGCAATGTACTAAGACGAAAATGTATAGAAAGTGCTTTAATCGCTAGATCATCCTCAGTAACTCTGCTGCTCTCTCAATAAATCAATCTTACTTATTATAAAACGCAGATTGTGTGTGTGTGTGTGTGCGTGTGTGTGTGTGTGTGTGTGTGTGTACGTTTATATATTGGATCGGATTTCCTACATTTTTCAACTGATTTCAACAAAACTTCACAGGACTGCGTAAAATTACCTTGCGGTGGTTCTGACAGCGCCAAAAATTGGAAAAGCACAATTGTTTTTGCACAAAATCAATTTGAAAACACGATTAAGAGGCATCACGAGAATGAAAGGGGGACAACTCATATCGAGTTATACTTATTATAAAACAAAGGTTGTTTGTGTGTGTGTGTGTGTGTGTTCCTTTATATATGGGATCGGATTTCCTACATTTTTCAACCGATTTCAACAAAACTTCACTTTGGGGGTGGGCAGGTAGTGTTTCTTATTGTCTTGCACACTTTTTTCTTTATTTTTACATTCAGAATGCTTTTAAAATTCCATTTACAAGACAATTGTTAATAATAAAATTCTATTCAATCGGTAGACTCATAACGATTGAAAACAATGTTTTTGTTTGAGTTTGTGTTTGACCAATTCGTGAAAAAAAAAACAACAAAAAAAAAACAAAACAAAATAAATAAAAAAACTAATTAAGACATGCGTGTCCGTCAACCTTAAACAATAATCTTTGTCAATTTTATTTTTCCGTCTTTATGAATGTCGATACTTGATCTATCTCTTACTGTTTCATCCCCGGGCAACACCAGGCTCTACTGCTAGTCAATCAATAAGGCAATCAACACCTTAGCTATACCCGTACTAGCATACAGCTTCAACATTATTAAATGGAAACTGAATGACATTACAAGATTGGACGCCAAGACCAGAAAAATGCTTAGCAAAATGAGCATGCACCACCTAAAATCAGCTGTTGATAGGATGTACGTACCATCGGAAGTCGAGGTCTAATCCAACTTGAACTAATTCTAAAAACTACAATAATCGGATTGGAAGCGTACCTCACAAAAACCAATGACCTCTCCTACAAATAGTAAAACACCAAATACACTCCATCAACAAAGAAGCTGGTCATTTCAAGAAACAGCTTAATATACATGAAACCCTAAAAAAAACAAACAAACAAACAAAAAAAAAAAAAACAACGAAATGAATTCCATCTACACCAAACGATTAAAACAGAAAGCAAAACAACTTGGCCAAATGAAATTAAAAACAAACAAACTGGGATGACAAGAAGTTGCTTGGCAAATAGCTAGAAAGAACGAAAGAAACAAATGTGGACTAACATAAAATACATCAATGGCTGAGGAAGCCCGCGTTGAAAGTTGAAAGAGAAAGCCTAATTATTGCAGCTCAGGACCAAAGCCTCACAAACAGATCCTTCCACTGTCACATAATCAATAATGGAACTAACCCGAAATAAAAGAAACTGCGTAAAATATGATGAAACTGTTGACCATATTATCTCAGGAGGCCCGGAACTAGCAACAAATGAATATATCCACAGACATAAGAAGGTAGCGATGAAGCACAAAATCGAAACCACTGAGAGATGGTATGAACACTAACCAGACACAGTTACCCAAAATAACGATGTAACTATCCTCTGGGATATGCCTATTCAAACTATCAGGGAAATAAAGGCCAACAGACCTGATATTAACATAAAAGACAAGAAATTCAGGAAGTGTATGCTTAATGACATAGCAGTATCATAAGAGAGAAACATCTCCATAAAAATTATCGAGAAATTCTCCAAATACAAGGACCTGGAGATCGAGATTAACAGGGTGTAGGGAATGAAGAATGCGATTGTAGCAATAGTAATCGGAACTCTGGGCCCCGTGAGAAAAGGAATGGATAATTTTATTAACAGTATCCCGGGTAACATCAACAAACAAATTGCTCAGAAAATCGCCTTACTAGAAGCATCCCATCTACTAAGGAAAGTGCTATCAATTACATGATAATTCTTCAACAGGGTCTAAGGACCATATTTTAGACCCGGCTTTACAGGATACAAAGCAAGGAAACATAACATACACAAATAATAATAATAATAATAATAATAATAATAATAATACTAAAATATTATGTCAGCCCAAAATGCAGATTCTGTGATAAATATCCAGAAACGATTGATCATCTTGTATCAGGTGGCACCCACTGAATATAAAACCCGACATGACAGAGTGGGCCAATATCTGCACTGGAAAATCTGCAACTTCTACGGGAAGAAAACTGAAAGAAATTGGTATGAACACCAACCAGACCCGGTTACGGAGATAAGACCTGTTACAATTCTATGGGACTACACAATACACACTGACAAAACAATCAAAGCCAACCGCCCAGATATTGTTATTAAAGATCACAAACAAAAACGGTGCCTCCTTATTGATATAGCAGTCCCTGCTGACTGCAGTGTATCTTTGAAGATATTCAAAAAGCTGTCAAAATGCAAGGACCTTGAAATAGAAATCTCGAAAATGTGGCATATGGGAATATCAACAATCCCTGTTGTAGTTGGAGCCCTAGGACTGGTTGGAAAAGATTGCAGTAGACTAATTGAAGGGATTCCTGGAAGTCCATGCCTCAAAGAGATACAAAAAATTGTTCTGACAAGTACAGCCCACACTTTACGAAGGGCTTTGTCTATGTCATTTTTCTTTTTTTTTTCTTTTTTTGTCAGTGGAAAGTGTCATGATGCCATTTCTAACCTTAGGTCCCTGGGCGGGACCCGGAAAGAAATGTGCAAATGCCAGGAACCAAAGAAAATAATAATAATAATAATAATAATAATAATATCCTTATCAGACTGGGTGTCAGGATGGGTATATATTGGGTTTCGGTTATTCATAACTTAGCAGCACTATGTTCACGTGCTACTATTACCTCAAACAACAGCAATAATAATAATAATAAATATTTTTTAAAAATCGCATATATTGTGCTTAATAAATCGTGTCGTTCCAGTGCTTGTGGTCGGCGTTCAAGATCAAGTCAAATACAGCATTTTGAATGTTGATTTTTCTAAGCACGCATTCTCACATATTGCAATTCGGCCACAAACTCTTCCTACTAGCCTTTATTCACATTTGTTTCATCAGTCTCCCGCCAACAAAGGACTCAAGAGCCACACAAAGTAGAGTG